AGGTTTAAGGAACTACATCCTTGGTTATTCGTAAGGTAGTCCCGCTTGTTAAACTTGTATTTTTAGTGCCTACTATTCAGTATATATTTATATAGAACATCGCCAATCTAAAAGAGAAATAATGGCAGAAAAAGACACCCTTTTTTAGATTAATGACGTTGAAGGAAATTTTCATAGAAAATGACTTTTAATCCGTGCTTTCATTTGCTAGTTACGGTGAGTTGAATGCTCAATACTAAGTTGTTACTAATGGCTCAAAATATATTGATGCTTCTTCTTGATCTACTGGTAGATCGATTGAAGCTTTTTAGCGACAGGATAATTCTCATTTCCTGTCTGGTCTGTCGTTCTTTCTTTAAATTCCATCAAAAGCTGAGCTGTTTTTCAAGCAGGTTCCGCGCCGTAAAACATTGCATTTGCAAGTTATTCTATGCATTCATTTTCTCCAAGAAATAAATGGACTGGATCAATAAATGAATCAGATCAATGAACGCGCCTTACCTTTTCCATCAATATCCGGTCGCAGATATCCCCGGACACGAAAATGTGCAGCAAACGACTCTTCAGACCAATCAAATTCAACGCTGAAAATGTTAATCAATAAAACAAATTCTGGAATGCGTAGGTAGTTTAGGCCAAATAAAAAAAGAATACTTAGCCAGAGTCACCATTGGATACTAGTCTCTATATTTGCCGTCGGTAATCTCATCCTGGATGGAAAATTAATTTATTCCCATTTTATTCATCATTTTTTTCATTCTTAATTTTTGGAATAAGGAGTCATCATTATTTACACAATTTATATTCGGACTATTGGCCTCATCTTTGTTGTTGTTATCATAACGTTTCAGCCGTTGTACCCTCCGGCCTTCCGTCCACCGGCGCTGGTTTGTGAATTTCGTGACCTAATGATTGTGCGTTCATTCCTTGGTCGGGCAGTATGTACTTACATTCAGTGGAAACGGACTAGCAATAACTGAGCTGGACTAAATAAAGATAGGACCAGTACCGATAGCCGTAGATATGAGCAGTGGAATGATAACAGTCTTCCCCCGTAGATTAAATAAAGGGTTCAGTTCAGAGGTCCCAGTAAGTTAACCATATCGATATCCACCTAAGGAAGACCGGAGGGCACAACGACCGAAACGCTGTGATAACAGCAACAAAGATGATGACAATAGTCAGAATGGAAATGGTGTAAATTTACAATATTTAGAAGTTTTTTAGTTTAGAGTTATCTCGTTTATATATATATATATATATATATATATATATATATATATATATATATATATATATATATATATATATAACCTAATGGGTAAGTATAGGTAGGTATAAATAAGAATAAATATAATAATTCAAACACATGAAAATTGCTTCGGCATGAAACTCGGAGTTGTGCAAATAATGTAAGATTATATATATATATATATATATATATATATATATGTATGTATATAATGTCTATCGTTATCTTCTGTCTTCTTAATTTGTTTTTTTATTATAATTTATAAATTTGATTTATAATTCTCTCTCCTTTATAAAGTTTGTTTCTCATACTTTCTAAGACACATGAGTCCTTTTCACCTTAGTGATTTTATTGACTTGCTTGCCGTGAAATGATTAATATATATATATATATATATTAAAGACATTTTTATGTTTAACGTTGTTATTTATAGATACAAGTATTTAAGCAAATGCTCCGTTTATGATAAACAGTATTAAATAACATTTACCGGCCTGAATGTCCGTTCTTTGACAGGATTCGAACCTGCATCCTATACGGAACCGTCATTTACGCTGACGTGGTAAGGTCGAATTTACTGCTTCTAAACTTCAATCTTCCATGAATCTCGTACATTCATAACTGCTCTGGCTTATCAAATGTAAACAAATGACGTCATATATTAAGAAATGGACAATTTATTTATTAAAGACATTTTTATGTTTAACGTTGTTATTTATAGATACAAGTATTTAAGCAATTTAGTATTTAAGCAAATGCTCTGTTTATGATAAACAGTATTAAATAACATTTACCGGCCTGAATGTCCGAGAAATTTTCATAGAAAATATTCGTTCTTTGACAAGATTCGAACCTGCATACTATACGGAACCGTCATTTACGCTGACGTGCCTAACCTCCTAATATATATATATATTGCACATAAAGTATTGGTGTTAATAAAAGTGTTCGATGTAGTACAACAGATCTATTAAGTATATTTTAATAAATATACATGTGAACAGTGACGGATAATATGTATATTTATTAATATATATATATATATATATATATATATATATATTATAGATAATATGTATATTTATTATATATATATATATATATATATATATATATATATATATATATATATATATATAAACTCCAAACTCCAGCACTATCCTCAGTATTATAGTTGATTTTTGCAATGCTATCGTTTAGAAGATTTTTATTTTTAATTGTTTCTCATATTTTTTAATCTTTTTTATACGCATCTCTTGATGCAGACAAGCATCATTATTTTAATTTTCTGACATGGTCAAGATATTTTCCAGGTGTTCATTTTATATCCGATTTTTTTTTTGTTTACTAGAACAACGACATCAAGAATTTGACAATTTTTCTTCGTATTATTTACGATGACTGGATTTAACTCTCGATCATAAATGTAGTGATGACTTCTATAATTTGCTTCATTTGATTATTCTTTTTTTTAATGAAGACGTCATCTATCTTTCTGTACAGGCATTTATTGTTTTGCTGTCTCATATCTTAACCCTAATGCAATATGATTGTCATCAAATTATTTGACCATGCGGTTTTCAAAGACACCATTTAAAATGTTATATATATATATATATATATATATATATATTCTTTTTCTCTATTTTCACATATCATTTCCGGTGAGTTGATCGATTAAATAGGTCAGTGTCTGGTCCTTAACCCCCACTCCTCCTCTATATTAAGTATTGTAGTTAAAATAAAAATAAATTCTAAATCTCTCTCTTCCCTCCCTAATTTCGAACATGTCTCTCACACTACGCCTCATCACACTCTATGTCACCTTATATAGGATTAATACTGCCCTTCAAAAGTGTAAATTGAAAGTTAAGTCTGAAGATCCAGAGAATAATAGATTCTCTGGTGAAATAAATTATTACAATGGTACCTTAAAGTGGTCTGTTTTTCTTTAAATTAAATTATTCGCTCTGACTGAACATTGAGCTCTCGGATTTCATCTTGCTTAGGATTATCCAAGATTTTTTAATTAATTAATTAATTATATATATATATATATATATATATATATATATATATATATATATATATATATATATATATATATCATTTAACTTTTTTTCTTGTGATATATTGTTTTCAGAGTTCTTTCTTATTAAACAAAACAAAATAAAAAACAGATTTTATTTTGAAAAATGAAATTAAAAAGTCGTTATTACAAACGTTTATTGTTTATCATATGTAACCATAAGGAAAAATAAGGAAGCTCTGAGTGATATGCTTGACTGATTTGTTTTTATGGTTTATCAACCTTTTAGAAGGTTATTTAAAGACAACAAATATTTTGAAATTGTAAGAATTATTTTGAATTAATAATGGTTACAAATTCTACCATTTAACACATAGCTGGTGGAAAGAGATGGATTCGTACCTTTCCCAAGGACATTTGTGTGTCAGAGAATATAACAAACCCGACTGGAATTAGAACACTATTCTTCGGATTCGAATTCTAAGTCGTTATCCATTACACCACAGCTTGATCAAAGGAATAGAGTTCTGGTAGATGAATATATTCCTCATATTGAGGATAATTCGGATGATTCAAGAGATATCCCTCCTGTCAATACTGATGCTAATTTTGTCCCCGATCCAAAAGCTCTGTAAGACGCCAGCACACAGAAAAGAACAAGACTCCCTACACTGGCTACCGCTTGTGACCGATACTTGACTAGTGGTTATGCTAGAGCTGCCATTGCTACTGCTGCCTTAACTGACTATGGCCTTATCACAAAGGATGACAAGAGACAAGTTATTTGACTATATAAGATACAAGATGCAAGAGAAAAATACCGATTGAAGTGACAAGACATTCGAGTAGATAGTTTTAAAAATATTACACCACTGTATTTTGATGGTAAGAAGACCGTCATTCGTATGACGATATATAATGAGAAGACCAATAAACAGAGTTCAAGAATGATGACGCAAGATCATTATGTCATCATGGTTGATACTGGTACTGAATATCTCACGCAGGTGACTCCCAAAACTGGATACGGAAAGCAGATTGCCAAAACTATGGATCAGTTTCTGGTGGTGAAGAATCTAACTCAGCAGTCTATTGTATGTGATAGTAGTGATGGAACTAATTTAAATCTAGAATCAGAAAATGGAACCAATCACCATCTTAAAAAGTTACTTGGTTACACGCTCCATTAGTTCATCTGTCAGCTTCACGGAAATGAACTGCCTTTCCGCGCTGTTTTCTATTAGTATGATGGTAAACCAAGTGGTCCTAAGCATTGGTGTGGTCTCACTGGAAAGCGAATCAAGGAGCATTTGTCTCAGCTGCCAGTTGTTGCCTTCCAGTCAGTCAGTTTCACTGATTTCCCTGTCCTAAATTGAGAAAGATCTGTCCTGGGATCAGAAATACCTGCATAGGATTTGTAAAGGAGTTATTACAGGTGTTGTTGAGCCAGGTCCTCACTGCATGTCAAGATAGAATACTTTATGGAGTAGAATACTCAGGCTGTGTGTAGTAACATCAAGACCCAGCCACGAGATGAAAAGAATCGCCATTACAATTATAATGTTCAATGCTCCAATGAGATTACAAGATGCCCCCTTACGTAACATACGGCTCAAGGAATGTATTCCAAAACCTGCTATATATGAAAAACCTGAATAGTAAGAAGAAGACGATAGGGAAGAAGAGTGTCTAAAGAAAGGGATACTTGACCCACACGGATCAATTTCTTGTTATGTGTGCAGATGAGGTGACTGTCTCGATGAAAAAAGAAGAAAAATTACAAAGAACCAACAGATGGAAGAATACACTGACAGATCTGATGAGAATGAAGTAGATTCTGCTGCTGCTGTGATTCTGCTGCTGTTGTGCTTCTGCTGCTCCTGTGATTCTGCTGCTGCTGTGATTCTGCTGCTGCTGTGATTCTGCTGCTGAGGATTTGTTAAACTGCTCTGATGATGAGGAGTACGATGGAGATAGGGGTGAGGATGTAACTCCTATAATCAACATGAGAAAATTGGTGACTCTAAAGTAGCTAGCAAAAACTATCATGTTTTTTATATGGAAAAATGAACTCAAAACTAAGCCTCCTTATATTGCTTCTCTATCAGATCAACAGGTTAATTACATTCTTAAGACAACATTAGTAGTGGCCCAACAGTACTCAGGCGATCGAAAGAGGGATAAAAGCGATGACTGAGGTTTGCATAAAGTGACGGGATACAAAGCGAGACAGGGACATATTATGCAAGGTCTATTGTCTAGGAAAATGATGCCTAGGTTCCGTACAAAAAGAGATTTCACTATTACCTTGTAATATTTTAATATGGTGTATCTCTTAGTGTAGTACTGGAACTAATTGATGTCACCGATGTACAATTTATTAATATCCGGTCAAACAATAAATGACATCTACCTTTTAGTGTACAGTAAAAGTTGACAAAAAGTCGATCACGATGTTGCAGGGTAAGTGGGCATCAAATAGCCTGAAATTTTTCACATGTGTTTGTTACAATCCTGCAAAACGATGCCTGAAAAGTGCAGATTGCAACTAAAAAAAATTTGTATTTGTTTTTTCACTGCTTATTATCATTATCATTACCATTCTGTATTGAAAATTCTTAACTGTGGGTCGTGGGGTTCTCTCTAGGGTTGGGAATACTTCGTGAATGCTATAGTAAAATCTTATGATTCTCAGGTGATATGAAAACGAAGAGATTACGAAAAAAAAGAGGTACACGAAAGATCATTTCAAGCTGCTCTCTCAATTTCCTCTCTTACATTTCCAAATAATCCTTGATTAGATATATCTCTTCCTCTGTTTCTCATACATTTTACCCTCTCACGTTGACCCAAAACCTGAGAACTTACTTCTACCATTTGTTTATCACTCTGAAGTAATACTTTGGATAATTGAATGAAGACGACTCTTACTACAACTACTATGATAACACGTACTGCCACTTCTGAAGGTCAAGTTGTATAAAGAGTCAGCATGAAGACGTAGGGGATCAATTTGGAAAATCAATTCGCAGTCATCGTAAGCAATACGATGAAAGACAAGAATTAACAATTCAAGTAATTAGAAGCAGTAGCAGTCGGATACAAATACGTTTAAAAGAAACAAGTGGTGTAACGTCTAGTCGAGAACGGTTCATTAAAATCTTCTCTTTGTATCATTTCGCAACTAACAATAAATGTTCGTATAAATAATGTCAAAAAATTAGTCATTTCAATAATCAGGAAATGTAAATTTTAACTTTGGCTTTATAAAAGAAAACACTCAGGGAAAACATTTTGTCATGCAATTGTCTGTTCACAGCAAATATCTAACTATCCCAAGCAATTTTTCGGCATCTTCGCTGACCAGAGTAGCATCGTGGCGTCAACTGTTCTTCAAATTACATATTGATTCAAGTTTGTTCTTGTGCTTTTTAATAATGTTTCAAAGTAGCTGAATATTCTAAGGAAATAAAGAATTGTTTCGTTGGTTCTTCATTTCCCATTTCTTTGAAGTGTCTCTGTTGTGATTTCAGGGTCGTAAAATATAACAGATTATAAGTTGAGATGCTGACGTTGGAAAAAGACCTACTATTTCTCCGGAAGGAGCCAACTGTCTTGAGAAGATTGACGCATTCCCCTACAGGGTCACCAGTTATTTGCAGATATTTCGATATTTATGTGAGAGACAATAGAAATGGAAATGAAATTGCAAACTATATTTTTATTGTCTTAACAAAACTAAAAGTAAGGATATAAAATTGTTATGTGTATAAAATCCTATTGAAGATGTTGAGTGACTTACTTTGAAGAAGAATTTGGTTTGTTAGATTTACCAGATTAGGTCATTTGTATACTGTGTTTTTTTTTGGGTTTTTTTTTGTTTTTTTTATTCATGCAAAACATTTTTTAGTGAAGACTAAAAAGTCTCGTGAATGGGGAAACGAGACACGTCTTGTCCCTGCAAAATGAGAATAAAGTAAAATCTCGTTCTGGCCGTCTTTTTATTGTCTAGTTCATATGAACAATCAAAACAATGCCTATTATTTATCTTCTGTTTCACATTTCTCCAACAATTATAATCAGAAGTCAATAACGGTGGATCTTTTCATTTGAATCCCAGTGTCTTAGCACTCTTCCAAGTTTGCTATCTGTTATGAATATGACTGTCACTTCAATTTTATATAGTTTTTCATTTTTCCATTTGTATCATTATTATTTTTATTAGTTTAGTATCTGTCCCTTCAATGACGGCAAGATGAACAAATTTAAAATCTAAATTGTTTGTCCATTTTAAAATACAACATTTATTAGAAAATATATATTTTTACTTTAAATACAGATCTAATGATAAAAATTACTTCAAAAGGATATATTCAAAACGCATATTCCGGTATATATTCTTTTCCTGTTACCTTGGGGTTGCTTTTAGATAGAAAGGAAAATTAACCCTCGTGACACACAAGTCCATTTCAGTTTCATTTAAAACGTGTGTGTATGTACGTTTGTAAATTGTAATTCAAAGACAGACCTAAAAAATATTTCTAAAACTTTAAAAAAAAACTTTAAAGAATAATTCTATTCATTACCGAACAATTACCGAAAAGTTTAATAAAATCTTATAACTATCTGATATTTTAGGGTTTAAGCTTTTTTGTTTGTTTGTGTTTTTTTTTTTGGGGGGGGGGGTTGTTTGTTGTTTTTGTTTGTTGTTTGTTTGTTTTGAGGGTTTGCATATTCATTGTCTTTTTTGTCTTCAGCTTTCTGATTTTATTGCTTATACCATGGTATGGGTTGTCCGGACTGAGTTGGCATAAAATATAGTGTTCACATTTCTTATTTAAAACTCACTCAAATCGTGTGTGCATTTGTGTTCGTGTGCTTTTATGTATATTGAATGACACAAGCATATATAATCACTCACAAACTACACAGATCTTGCATATAAGTATAATAGCATTTTTTTAATCATTTCACCCAAATCAAGGCGATAAATCCACTAAGACACCAGGGGTTACTTACAGCGAAAGAGAATGAGGAAACTGAGAATGGAGATGGTTGAGGGAAAAGTAAAAACAGAACAGAATTCAAGAAAACAGAAGATATTTATTGACGTTGCATTTAAATTTTTGAAGATTATACTTATCAGGAAAGCAATAAATCGGATGTGATTTTCACAAGTGAGAAGTGCGAGAAAAGAAACTTTTAGAGTAAAAGTGGTGGTTGCATGTAGCTAGTTCAAAAGTAAAACGGTGTGACCTAGTTGCCAATCTAGTAGTACATGTAGTCGAGGCAGCAGGATAAAAAGCTCATCGACGCAGTTGCCATGAAAATATATGTAGAAAAGACAGAGGGAAGCCACGTCACGTTGGTGAGAAAAATGACTGAAGTCGAGATACTTAGTTAGAATCGATTAGATTACAGACCCTTCTTTAGATTTTGTCAAGAATCTCAAGATATACAGGAGTATCAGACGAAATATCGCAACAGTTCAGTGTACTGGCGAATGGTAGATTTAAAAATGTGCAAGACGAGAAAAAATGTTCTGGCACAACACACTGAATCAACTTTCCTTGCAGTAGATGCAGCAAGTAATTCAATATCGCCGCTCCATTTCAGGTCAATGAAAAACGTGAAGCCTTGAATGCTTACAATGTTGCTCTCCATGCTTATGACATTAAGAAATGGTTATCTGTGGTGATTAAACGATCTTAAATTAAATGAGAATTTGGGGGGCTTTTAAATTTACAAGCCATTACTTGCCCCAGTTAACCACTGATTGGAGGTCCTTTTCAAGAGCAGTTTCCAGATGTATTATGTCAGGTCTGTTAGATTTGCTATTAAACGGGAGTAAATAGTTACGTCATCTGCATAAATACCTAGTTGGAAACTGATGACATCGAAGAGATCATTGATGAAGATCAGAAACAGCGTAGATTCAAGGATATTGCCTCGGAGGTCTCTCCAGCGTTAGTATGAAATGATCGGGAAGCGAGCCCTTTCAACACCACTGATTTGTTAGAAATTATTGGATTAACCCAAATATTCGTCCTTGCATACCGAAACCCTGTCAAACGCCTTCGAGATAATCTAGAGCCACAGCGTAGATTCAAGGATATTGCCTTGTATGTCTCTTCAGCGTTAGTATGAAATGATCAGAAAGCGAGCCCTTTCAATACGACTTATTTGTTAGGAATTATTGGATTAACCCAAATATTCGTTCTTGAGATTGCGTAAAAAGCCAGCATACCGAAACCCTGTCAAATGCCGTCGAGATAATCTAGAGCCACACCCCTAACATCGCCATTCTTATACCCATTTCATGTGCGCATTTCAATTTACACGCAGACAGTTTTTAACGGACAGAGAATCATGATCTTATTATTATATAATATAGATTGATCACGATTTATTATATTGCTTAGCTTCATTTGGAACAAGCCGAAAATGATCAAAATAAGATAAATTTGCTACGCTGATCTTCTATATAAGAAGAATCATTTACCAATCAGCTTTCATAATCCTCGCTTTTATTTATGCTTGAATGCTGACCATTGGCGACCATGGAAAATACGAAGCTCACTTCCCAAATAGGCAATTTGTAATATTTTGTTCGCATAAATCATTATCATTGACATTATGATTAATACTCATCATCATTATTTTAGTTATTTCTTGAATGATATCATCAGAATCCTAATATTCATCATTTTTCCAATGTGGAACTCATTAATCTTCATGTTGCAAATGATTATAATGGAATTGAAAGTGAAATTGGCGACTTTGGAATGATAGATTCTCGAAGCTAATAACCACCGATGCGTTATTTATTGATTTTATTTGATTCCCACTGTGAATGACTTGTGGAAATGTGAACGATTATATTTTGTGGGTATGGCAGAGGAGGAGGCGACTGAATAGTTGGAGGAAGTATGGCGCCAATGAAGACTGGTAAAAATATTGAAATCAAAAATGAACTGCGTATTTTCTCTTCGGT